GTAGTTACAACAAAATTCCCAAGGCTGACGTAATCAGCCTGAGCGTGACGTTTCCACTTGCCACCCTGCACGTGACCGAAGCAGCAGAAGCTGGGCTGAAGAGAACTCAAGTAGTTTGAGACAGTCCATAAAGGAGCTGAGTGGCCTGTCGGTTATCTGCCTTTTATTACCAGGTTTTGGCTCATGGATTCACCCAGTCGTTACTTTTGGATGATGCCGGCTCAGTCCTGGCCACAGCCACCAGCTGGGAGGAACTAGAAATCCAAGAGGAAGCCGAGTCCGGTAGCAGTGTCACGTCCACAATCCGACTCCCTGTACAGGTGAGCAGGTGCCCCCAGGAGAGCACTTGTGGGATGGACTGGGCCAAAGAGCCCACTCTGCAGAGAGGAAAAAGACAGGAAAATCAGCCAACATACAGCTTCCTCGAAGAGCCAAAAGTGGTATTGGTAACTTTCTGCCATGCGTAGAGTAGACATTGAGCCAAGTAGGAAAAGTCAGCTAATGATTATTTCTGTGTAGCCTGGGCTCGGCTCATTGGAGAGCTGCTCGCCCCAAAGTGAAAACAGCATAACACATAGTGCCACCTGCCAGGTCAGCCCCCAGCCACCCAAGCAGTGACAGCAATGGTCACTTTTATCTATTAACTGGCCAGCTGGGAGGGGGAGCCCGGGAGGTCCAGGTCCTGGAGCATGAGCCTAGTAAGGATAAATGGACCCACTTTTACCACGTCTCATTCAGTGGCAGCAGGTCGCTGACTCGACAGTCCTTTGTTCTTGTAGCCATCCTGGTACGTCCAGTCCTTCCTGTTTAGCCTCTGCCAGGAAATTAATCGGGTTGGAGGCCACGCTTTGCCAAAAGTGACACTGCAGGAGATGCTGAAAAGCTGTATGGTCCAAGTGGTGGCTGCCTATGAGAAACTTGCAGAAGAAAAACAGGTGAAGGTAGGTGTTTGAATTTTTCCCCTCTAAAAACCCGATGTTTTTTCCCTCGGGTTTGGGCAGTTCCCAGCAAGGATTCCAAGTGTCTCCACTCAGTGCCGGCTAATCGGCTAATCCGTGGTGGCTTCCGGTTCTGCAAGTTCACCAAGCCCCCTCCCGAGCATCAAGCAGGTCCGTACTAAAAGGCAGTTCAGCGGGAAGGGGAAAAGGCCTGGTGTCCAACCCCAGCACTGCCGCCTACGTGCTGCAGCCTTGGACAAATCACGAAGCTTTCTCGGTTTTTCTGGGGTCAAGTGTGGTCCCTTGGAGAACTGCTTGGGAGGAGTGGCGGGTGACTGTGCCCGGGGCAGCATGTGGCACACAGAGGCGCTGGCCTGAGGCAGCTCCTGTCTCCCAGCCCCCCCACCGCCCTCGCCCCTTCCCTGGAATGTTCTGCCTGTGGTGGATATTCCGTTTCATTAGTGATACGTTTAAGATAGCACCAGCTCCTGATCTGGGAAAGAATTCAGGGAAGTCTCCTCTCCTGAGCTTCCACAAAATGCCTCTCCTTCATACACCAGATTTTTTTCTTCAAAAAGGGCAGTCTGGAGCACCCGAAGCCTTTGTTTGAAGGTTTTCAGTTTGGTTTAAGACCAAGTTTGAACAAAACCCATTGTTGGGACATCAGACTGCCCTTGTTGAGTACACAAAGCTGGTGCTTCTGAAGCAACAAGCTGTATCCCAAACTAAGACATGAAGCTGTTTACTCTGCTCCTGTTGCAAACCCTCTCCCTTCTTGGGTGGGGACGGGCAATTCATTTGCAGAAAGAAGGCGCCTTCCCGATGACCCAGAATCGGGCCCTGCAGCTGCTCTATGATCTGCGCTGCCTCAGTGTTGTTCTGACGGCCAGGGGCGAGGAGGTAAAGAGTGGCCGCAACAGACAAGACTCCAGGTACGCGCGCCCCAGCAGGCTCTGCCAGGGCCGTCTCTGCCGAGGACACACGGCTCCTTTCCAGAAAGCCACCAAGAGACAGCCTCTCGTGGTGCATTAGCTGTTGGCTTTAACCAGGAAGCATGACCAGCTAGATCAGCAGTGACCACCTGCTGGATAAATGCCTCGGTCAAGTGCGGTGGGCGGAATCTCAGGCCTCTCTCTCCTGAGTCAGCCTACCAACTCTTGGGTATAACTTGAGCCTCTGACTCTGTTGCTGACCACATGAGGAAGGAAAGGACCTCACTCAGACATCTTAGGCGGTTAAAACTCTTGAGGATTACCCAAGCCCGATGGGTAGGGACAAGTGCTACTAAGCCAGCAAGTAAGAGTAAATCCAAATACGGGGTTTCGTTAGCACTGAAATGCCATGAGGTTGGGTTTTGACCTAAAAAAAAATGTGAAGAATAATCATACTCCTTTCCAGACTTGAGAAAGTGGCTGATTATCTGGAGGCGCTCATTGACCCATTTGACCTGGATGTTTTCACGCCGCACCTCAACAGCAACCTTAACCGCCTGGTGCAGCGAACTTCTGTAAGTCCCAGAGAGACGCGCCCAGCAGGAACGCAGAGCCGCGGGCTCACACGGCAGTGTGACCCGGCTCCAGCCCTTAGTACTCTGGCTGGCAGCGTCGGGAGGGGCCCGGGATGCAAATAGCTCAGTTTAGTTGGAAGGGCTGAAAGAGGATCAGATTAAAATCTCACTGCAGAGGCAGCCGTGATCTCAGCCCTCCAGCTGTAGGTAAGGATTAACGAGGTTTTATCGAGGCCTCAGAAAGAGGAATAAAACAGAAGAGCAATGGGACTCTGGGATTCTGACCTGTGGGCAGTGAAAAAGGTAATTCTGAAGCGTAAACATGCGGCAAGGAACATTCCCCAAAAGGACAGTGAGAAACAAGAGAAGGGATTTTCTCTTTTTAATTAGACAGGGCCAAGACCAGCCTGTCACTGTGCCCCGTTTCCTGTCTGTCAGGTTCTGTTCGGATTGGTCACTGGAACAGAGAATCCTTTCACCCCCCGGAGCTGCACATTCAACTCGCAGGAACCCCATAACATACTGCCCCTGGCGTCGAGTCAGATCAGGTAAGGATTCAGAGAGCTTGTGTGGGGGCCCCGGGCTTCCTGTTCATGCCCCCGAAATTCTTCATCTTCTCTTGGAGGTTTGGCCTTCTTCCACTGAGCATGACGAGTGCCCGAAAGGCCAAATCACCCAGCAGAAACATCGAAACCAAAGCCCAGGTAAGTGCAGAGAGCAGGGGCGCACCCGGGGTATCCGGTCCGTCGCCCACCAAACCACCCGATGAGCTCCCCTTTCAATAATCGATAAAGAACTGAAGGACAAAATGCACTAATGCTGCTTTTAATGGCGGCGCAATATAGAAGTACAAGGTTTCACTAGCTTGAGCTGAGAGGAGTTTTAAACGATGCCCATTTATATTATCAAGTAGCCTCGTAATAGAGACGTTATCTCAGGCTGCCAGGACTGTAGAAAACAAGCAGGACAGGATGGAGTTACTTCTTGCTGTTCGCAGGGTGGAAGAGGTAACGGCTTAACCCCGCACTACCACTGTACTTGTTTGGAAAAAAAACTTGTGGTGGTGGTTTCATCTTCCTATTTCTTGCAGTTGGGTGGGATAAAAGGGAATTTGCTTTCTCGAGTTTGACATTTTCTTGTTAATACACGTTTTATTTCAGTCGACTGCCATCCATTAGGCCCGCAGGAGCCCTTCTGGGTATTTCTGAGTTGTGTCGTGTACGCGTGTGCTTGAGCCCAGACGGCTTGTCTTCTCACAGCATCTAGTTCTGTTTGCTTTCTTGTTGGACAGAATGCTAGCAATGTGTCCTTTCCACCTTCCCTGCCATCAAACCCAGTAAGACTAAACTTTGCCTCAAACATCTGGTTGTACAACATGGGAGGCGATAGCAAAAAGCACAGGCTCCCCGCCCAGGCCCTCCCCTCCGCAGGCCGGGGTGGCCGGCGCTCCCCTGGAACCCTGACTCTGCTTCAAGTAACTGACCTGTAAGTTCCGTCCATAGGAGAGGCTCAGACCACAGGAAGGAGGTACCTATGTTTACCCTTTTCCTAGGATAGTACTCCTCTTCAAATGTTCATTCTGTCCCATAAGATCTCATTTTGTCCCCTATGTCCTTTGTCAGGGTTGACAAAGCAGAGTCCCCTGACTAGAGCTATCCGTGCTTCTGAGATCCGCTTGTGTGTGCCGTGGCGGGTGTGAGCAGGCAGGAGGGTCTGGGTAGACTCTAAGGCACTTTCCTCTACATGCATGGCAGGTTGTCCCCCCGGCCCTCTCCCGAGCGGGTGACCCAGCACAGCCTGGCTCCTTGTTCCGACAGCTGGTCAGTGAGGAAGAAGACGCGTCCACGCCTTCGTTGTTCAAGCTAGGTTGGCTCTCTAGTATGACTAAATAACACGGGAATATATCCGCCTCTCTCTAAATAAATACTACATCATTTCTGCTAATGGTGCCTCTGCTTGTTTGTTTCTAAGCCACACCAGTCTTTCCAGTTTCAGCGGTGGAATGTGGCCCCCAGTTACCGTTAGGGGTTCCTTTACGCATACAGTGACTCCTTGTCCAATGGTTTCACAACACTTGTGACTTGAGACAGCAGTTCAGATAGCTTACAGTCGGTCAGCATTCCCCAGCGCCTTAGTTCTTGAACCCCAAAGCGGATTCCCAGCAAGATCACGGAAACTGCTGATAGAACAAGTCAGTGAGTGAGACAAAGGCCATTCCGTACTCCTCAACTGTCCGAACTGTGCCCTGTTTCCTACTAAGTCTGAGATGGAGGCTTTGGAGGAGTAACAGTAGCAGAAGTGAGCCGGGTATACAAGTCTGAAAGACATTCTCTCTGGAGATACAAATATATAACAAAGAGAGAAGATAGTTACTAGCAAGGCTGCCTCACTGACACAGTCTAACTTGGATCTGATGGTTCTGTTACAGAGGAGAGCGTACTTGCAACAGGACGTCCACATACTAAGAGGTAGTATGGCAATTAGTTTCAGTGCAAGACTGAATCAAGCTTTCTGTATTTTGGAAAACAACTTAGGTTTTTTTCATGGAAACTAGATACTCTTTACTAGTTTATTGAATTTAAAAAATTGAAGATCCCGCACTTTTAAAAGGCCTTTTTACATAAAGTAGAATGTCTAACTGACAGATCTGGAAATCAGTCTGAACTGGACAAACTATGGATTCAACACGCAGATGAGATTTCCTCATACCATTACCTCGACATGGATTTGAGACCCACCCTCAAAAGAATCCTATAAAAAATTGCTTCAAAGCCCCTTTGAAATTGCAATAGTGCAGCAAAACCAACAAGTAAACAACGGCCTGTTGACCTGTTATTTCAAATATAGACTGAAAAGCCAACAGGCATATTTTTGTGCAATTTTTTAAAACATTGTAAGTTGAAATATCAAATCTGCACAGCGCTGTCCCTTCACAGAAGGCAAGAAACTGCCGGCACATCATGTCGGAGGCCGTCCTCGGTGCTGTAGGCTGTGAAAGTGGGCCTCCTTCAGGGTCTGGTTGATGTGGAAGTAAGGGCCTTGGCACAGTGCAGACTGCTCGGGAACAGGCTGAGGGGTGTTGGGGCCGGACCCGGCAGCCACGTGGCTCGAGCCGCTCTCTGGCCCGCTCGCCCTGTCCGGGCTGTTGATGCTGCTGCTGCTGCTGCTGCTCCCACCGCTGTCGCTGCTTGAAGACTGGGAGGAAAAAGAAACAGGATCGCGGTTAGGCTGTTTGGTTTCTTAAGAACGTCACTGCGGTGTCATTTACAATACCCCGTGTAAGAGCCTCCTTCCTGTTGCGTTTGAGGAGCAGCGGCACCAAAAGCAGTGGGCTTTGCAGCTAGACAAAGTGAGCGCACCTACGATACCTCACTGCATCCCCGTGACTGCCTCGTAAGGCGGAGTGGGATTAGGATCCCCGTCACATCCCCGGAAGCGGCAGGGTCCAGGTTCAGGCCTTCTGACTGCAAAGCTCTTCAACTACATCCTAATTTCTTTCACATCTTCTCTACCTGCTTTCATCATTCATTCCAATAATTTCCCAATAATCAAAGGAGGAAGTTCTCTGCCTCCAAGGGAAAAGTATCAATCACGGGGATAGGGTTTAAGTGTCATTAACACAACATGGCTTCTGGCCACAAGTTCTAAAAACATCTGGGACAATTTCCTGGTTCTCATCTCAGGGACACAAAATGGTATTCTCTGAACGCAGAACACCTATCTTGAAAAAGTACAACGTACTTCTTCTAAAGTTACAATGGCAATTCTGCAGTTTGACATACGTGTGCACGAGTGTGCCTTATTTCTTTTTTTTAGTGCAGCAAATATGATTCAGTGTCTTAGTTGTCTTGAAGAAGCTACTCAGAGATCCCTAAAAACTAGGGTTCTCAAAAGGTAAGGCAATGGTAAGAATCCCTTTCAGAATGATGGTTTATTTTACAATTTAAGTATTGCATTTCAAGTAAATGACCGACAGTGCCCTTCCTCCATCCACAACTCAGCCCGGTACTGTACTGGAAAGAATCAATGCATGAGAAAGTTAGGGTTCTAGTAATTAATGATCTGGTGCGCACTTTCCTTAACTTCACCCTTTGATCTATCTAATTCGTGCTGCCTTATACAAAGACATTCGTTTTGGAAAGTCTGCATGCAACTCTGTAGAGTCTACACATAAGACAGACTGGGAAAAAACTGGCCATAGTATTCAAATGGAGGGATGAAGTTGCTTCTTGCTTTCCTACCCTTTACTGTAACAGTCTTACAATATGGTTATTATGTATCTTTACTATAAAAATAAATGTATAAATAATGTTTCCAGATAGATACTTTAGAAGTGATTTTTTAAAAATACTAGTTTATCCATTTTTGAGCAAAAGTTGCACCTGACAATATGTACAGAAACATGTCTGAACCAGGAGAGAAAGCAATGTCCCTGAAGGGTATCTGTTCTTAATAAGACTTAAAGGAGAAACATCATGGGCCATAAGTCATCTGGAGCTACTTCACAGCTTACACATCCCATTGCCCACATGTGGTAAAAGACCACCTGTATGTCTTTCCACAAAAAACCACAAACAGGAAGAGCATTATGACGGGCTGAATGGAGTCAGACGGCAGGATTAGCAGCAGCAGCCGCAATTAAAGACCAGGGTGCCTGGGTGGCTCAGTGGGCTAAGTCACTGCCTTTGGCCCAGGTCAGGATCTCAGGGTCCTGGGATGGATCCTGCTCAGCGGGCAGTCTGCTTCTGCCTCTCCCTCCCCCTCCCAGTGCACGCTTTCTCTCTCAAATAAATAAATCTTTTTTTAAAAAAATGTACTTAAAGACTTACGAAGTCAAAAACAATTCAAAACTAAAAACTGTTTTCCATAAAAGCTTCTCCTGGGTGCCTGGGTGGCCCAGTTGGTTGACTGCCTTCAGCTCAGGTCATCATCCTGGAATCACAGGATCGACACCCCACATCGGGCACCCTGCTCGGCAGGGGATCTGCTTCTCCCTCTGACCTTCCCCCTCTCATGCTTACTCTCTCTCATTCTCTCTTTCAAATAAATAAATAAAATCTTTAAAAAAAAAAAAAAAAAAGCTTCTCCTAACCTAGAGGGGAGCAGCCCCTGTGTGTGGAGCTCCTGCACCTGGTAAGGTCGTGAACAGTTAACGAGTCAGCTACTACACTAAATATGAAACCCACCGCGCAGAACACTTTGTTTCCTCTTAGTCTGTTTTCTTTACTGTTTTTCGTTACAGGTACTGTCTGAAAATTAAGGCAAGAACTAGAATCAGTTTCTAGTAAGTCAAGTTTCCATCTCAAAATTTACTTCACACTACAATAGCAAAAGTGACACTATTCTGAGAAAAGGTAAAAGTTCTTTAAAATAAACAGGTTAGGAAAAATTTCTCTACAATACTGTGAAGTGAAAAGACATACCTGTGATTTCTAGTCCGTTTTAAAAACCTCGCATAAAAACATGGTTTATACCAACTTTACAAAGACAGGTACACAAATGTTTAACGTGGCTTTGTTTATAACAGTGAAAAAGTGAGAATCACCTCCATGTCCAGCAAGAGAGAAACTGGTTATAACATATATATATAAAATATACCCCATGAATTATAACTGTTAACAATGAAACTCTACTCAGCTATTAACAATAACAGAGATGTATATATATACCAGGAAAGAAGTCTCCAACATTTTTTTACAGGTTGCAAAACTGTATGTACAGAATGCCAGCTGGCTTTTTAAATGTTTTTCTTTAGTACAGACATCTATGTACACCAAAAAGAGCCTGGAAGGATATATATGCGAGAATATTCAGAATTTGGACCTTCCATTTTTTACAGTATTTTTATTTTCTATAGCTTCTACAAAAAAAGATTTCTGTGGGAAGCAAATTGGTCACAAGTAAGAGAACTAAATGTTGCTACAAAGCAGATCGGATCTTCAGGTACTTCTAACTTCAAGACGGAGACTTAAAAAGTACGCTGATGTTGTCAGTAAGATTTGCAGAAGACTTTTTTTCCTCCTTTAAGAACCTCTAAAACTGCTTCAGTTGTATTCACTTGCATTGAGCGGGCTGATGCTATTTTTAAACTAACAGAAGAGGGACTATCTGAACCCAAGAATCAGGGTTAATGGCCTTTACGTGTTATTTTAACCTTTACAAAACGTTACCTACGCACTACTGCCATCAAAGGTAAAACCAAAACATCTCTGTAAAAGACACTTTGGTTCCTATTCTCTGTCATTTGTGACCAGTCTTCCCACTACAAGGGAAGCTTTTAGGAGTATCTCACTCTCTAGGGATGAACCAGGAGTTTTGAAACTGCAGCCAGCATAGGAAAACAGAGCGAAACATGAAAAAGGTAACCATTCAGTGAAATTTGTTTTATTGCTCATGAATATATTTAGTGTGCGCTGGGTCACAAAATAAAACACTCCTGTGGGAGAGGGTCAAAAAAGTTGGGAAGTTATTGTCCGTCTGAACACTGTCAGTCAGGCCTACTTTATGGGACAAGAGAAAGACCATTATTTTCTCCTAACCCTAAAAAGTAAGTCTCTGTCCACGTTTTAAGATCTGCACAGAAGTTGATCATTTTGTTATAAAGCAAACAAAAAAACTTGAGATGAAAAGAGAAACTGTATTTTCGTCACTTAGTGGATCTTTTTAGTATCACATTGCTTGGGAGGGGGCACCCTTTACAGTACACGGTTTTAAAAATTACAGCTGCTAAACTGGGACAGAAATATTTACCTCGTTACTAATACTGTTCTTAAGAATTCTTTTATCAGACTTGGGGACTAAGAAAGAGTCGTCAAACTGTCCCTGCACCCCAGGGAGACCGCTCAGCAGACCACGCGTCCCAGTGGGTGGTTACAAAGCTCCTTCTCTTTCCTCTGGACTTCCTGCGGACATCTGACCCAGGTATTTTCAAGACAGACTGACATCACAAATCGAAGGAGAATTAAGGTCACACTCCATGAAATAAAAACCCCTTGGCCCTCTACGTGTACCAGCACAATAAAGTTAAACTTATGCCAATTCCAACCAACAGGGTCTCTCTAAATACGCCAAGGCAACCGCTAGCCCGGGGAGATGACCTGCGTGCACAGCGAGGACTCTAGATTAGCCTGCGCACTTGTGAACTCGACCAGTGCGTCCCTGTAAGTGCGGATGCCAGGGCCTGCGGAGAAGAGAACGATCACGACTCCGTCTGTTCAGGAATCACCGTTTTAACACGTGCACCTGCCAGGGCCCCACGTGGCTCCGGAAAACCTGGCTCGAGCGTGCACAGACTGTTCTGAAGGCCAAGCACTGTCCACACAAATGTCCCCGTGCCTGCTGTGTACAAGATGGCATTTTCACTAGGGCGGCTTCATCATTCAACAGGAATGTGCCGGGCTTAACCGAGATTATGGTGGCAGCCCAGCCATGGAGAACAATCCTCCCGTCACCGCCACTGCGGTGACGGCAATCTAGCAACAGGTGCTGGGAGAACTAGGAGAGCCTCCGTAAAATGAAAAGTATCTGAACCGGGCCTAGAAGAATGGTTTCAGCAAGCAGGCCGTGGCAAACCGAGAGCACAGCAGCAGCAAATCAGAAGGAAGGAATGTTTGGGGAGGTAAAGCTAACAGTGTGGTGTGGCGGGCCACCCCAGGCACAGTCAGTCCGACAAAATATCCAGGAGGGGTTACGGCTCGACGATCAGGCGCCCTAAAGTCCGCACCGAAGACCTATTTGGAGCTCTGCGCAGAAGGGAGGGCTCCACGCATGAAGCAGGAAAGCAGGCCGGCGGCAGCAATGCAAATCAAAGGGGATGCGTCACAGCCCAAAGGGAGACGGGAGCAAGGAAATGAAGGAGACAAGTGAGCTGGCAAGGACTAGGGTGCTCAGGGCATGTCTGCTGAATGGGGAGAGCACCGGCGAGTCTTGAGGATGGTTCAGGGGCTTTGGGAAGGAAACGGGATCAAGAGAGGGAAGAAGGGGAGGCAGGTGGGACACTGAAGGCACGGGCCAGCTGCTGGGAAAGGCGGGGGGAGCGCCTGCGGACGGGCTGGGGGGTGGCAATGGGACCCATGAGGAAGGGACAGATACCTCCGTGGGCTCGTGTCCGGGGACACCACGCTGGAGAGACTGTAAGAGAAGGGAGGCGTACGAGGGAGGCTTTCAGGGGCCTCGGCCAGGAGGCAGAGTAGACAAAGAAAGGCAGAGGGCCGTTTCCCTCAGCAGAGAGGAGAAGCACGTGTTGGACCAGCTCTGCCGCAGAGGACAGGGACAGTGACGTGCTCATGTTCTCAGCCCACAGGGCTCAAATTAGACGGCAGAGGTCCAGGACTCTCGACCTACAAGCGGTTCCATTTTCCCAAGGGGTAAATCAGCTTAAGAGGCAAGCCGTGTACACCCAAAACAACTCTAAAGACGATTCCCGCTGATAATCTTTAGAAAGGCCTCCAGGCAGGAATATTAATTACTGAGTCTCTCTGCTTCATCAAAGGAGAGCCAGAATATATGTATCTATTCACTACCTAGAGCTGGATGCTTTTTCTTCTTAATTAGAAAAGCAGACTGGCAGTGTATTTGATTTTCTCTCAAACCCCAGCTTCCCGTCCCTCCCAGCTCCCCATTCACTGGTGCTTTTATGTTTACATGAGCCTCAAAGGACCGAAGAACTCCGGCTCACCACACGCCCTTCCCAGGGTCACGATCAAGTGCTGTGTAAGTCCGCGGCAGAGGCTGGAGTAAGGGCAAGAGATGACCCTAGCCAAGCCTGTCAGAGCATCCACCGGAAAATTCTGTGCTTCCGAAGTGCCAACAATTTCAGAGAGCTGCAGGTCTGCTATCATCAGGGAGGCTGTAAGATTCCAAATGAGTTCAGTGGGCTACTGTTACCACGCCTGACTACAAGGAATGACAATGCAGGCGGTCACTCTTCTGTGTCCCTGAGGGAGTAGCTTATCCTTTCTACGTCTCAGTTTCCCTTACAGGCTGAAGCAGAACTGCACGATATTTTAAGGTCCTTCCTAACTAAAATGTCCTATGATCAATCACTTCACTCTTTAAAAACCAACAGGCCAAAAAATAATCCCGACCTGTAGAGAAACACGTACATGTGGGTACATACACTCATTTCTTTACAAACCAACCACCTGGTAAAGCTTTCTACGCTGTGGGCTGAAGCGACGTATTACTGACACCTCGAGGACGTACACCATGAGCACCGTTTCTTTAAACATATGCGAAAACCAGACTCATTTTTGGAAAGGCCTGTTTCTTCACTTTGAATGGACCATTTTAGAAAGTAATTTCAGAGTTCCTTTACTACAGGGTTTTTAAACACGACACATACCCTAATAGTTTCATCACCAAAAACAGTTCTTTCTCTTAGGAGGCACCTACTACCCTACAACCGACTGAAGATGAGAATGGGCACAAACTGGGGCACCGGGGAGGCTCAGTTGGTTAAGTGTCTGCCTTTGGCTCAGCTCATGATCTCAGGGTCCTGGGATACAGCCCCACGTTGGGCTCCCTGCACAGAGGGGACTCTGCTTCTCCCTCTGCCCCTCCCCCTGCTCTCACTCTCTCTGTCAAATAAATAAAATATTTAAAAAAGGGACGCCTGGGCGGCTCAGTTGGTTAAGCGGCTGCCTTCGGCTCAGGTCATGATCCCAGGGTCCTGGGATGGAGTCCCACATCGGGCTCCTTGCTCGGCAGGGAGCCTGCTTCTCCCTCTGCCTCTGCCTGCCACCCTGTCTGCCTGTACTCACTCTCTCTGACAAATAAATAAATAAAATCTTAAAAAAAAAAAAAAGGGAGGGGGGTGCCTGGGTGGCTCAGTGGGTTAAAGCCTCTGCCTTCTGCTCGGGTCATGATCCCAGGGTCCTGGGATCGAGCCCCGCATCAGGCTCCCTGCTCGGCAGGGAGCCTGCTTCCTTCTCTCTCTGTCTGCCTCTCCACCTACTTGTGATATCTCTGTCAAATAAATAAATAAAATCTTAAAAAAAAAAAAAAAAGAAGAAGAAGAAGAAAGAATGGGCAAAAAACTAAAAGCCTAAAGATACTTTTAAAGAAATTATACTCAATATTCTCATTGTCATCTAAATTCACAGTATTAAAAAAAAATCACCTGATATTCAGCTAATTCTTAGCAGTTAAGATAAATGGACTTAGAGAACCCTAATTGTAATGATACACGGGTTCCCTGGTTGTTACTTTTTGGTCAGGTCTTTGCAGTTGCATTAACAATACCCGTGGGATTTTAGGGTTATGACATGAAAACTTTCCCCTCCTAGCAGGGAAAGATAAAGGCAGAGGTTACTCAAGGTAAGCCACCCCTGTTTTTCCTCCACATTCTCTCACTCTTTCCTTGTTACTCTACAGTGATCTGAAAAATTAAAATGGTCTTGGTAGGTTAAAGATCTTTAAAAAAACAACCCCACAAACATTTAAAAATCTTCTGCTTCTAGTTACTCAGGTAGCAGCACCTTTTCCAAGGCGTGCACCTTTGTGAAAGAAGCCACGTTTATGTGGAAACATCTAGGGTAAACTGTAGATAAAGATATTAAAACTGAAAGCAAAAAGCATTCCTCTACTACAAATTAAGATAAAATTCAAACCAATAAGACCATCCCTAAGAGAACAAATTTAAATAAAGTTAAATCTTGCTAGTTTTTACCCATCCAAATAATTGTCCAAGATCAGGGAATGTCACTGCCTTCGTACAGGACCCAGCATGAGACACAGATTGATAAATGATTTCACGTTTTGCTCAATAAAGAGAAAAATGGCCTGACTTACACATTCATCTAGCATGGTGTTACAAAAAAATTTGTTCCCATACCAGAAATTATATCTCAACTTTAAAATGGCATCCTAAGGCTCACAAGTCATTAAATACAAGTCACTGAAGTTAAGATTAAGGGTCTTTGTTTCCAACACCAATTAAGAGTTTTGAAAAAAACCTCCAGACCCCAATTTCTTCACTTTTTCTAGCTAACGATCTAAAACTGCTTTCAAGCTAATACTGTATCGTAACATTTACGTGGAAAAATATTTTCCAGCTAAGACAGGAGGAGGAAAATTACCCTTCTCTGTTCCCATGATGTAACAGAAGTCTAGGACAGAGCTGCCTCTGAATATATTTAGCAAAATCTCTCAGAACTTCCGTCCCATATTCCGTGCAACAGCACATACCACGGTCAGGAGCAAAGGGGCTCACCAGCCAAACTCTGGGCTCACCGACTCTGCCTCTTATTAACTGGGTATCTTTTGGCAAACTACTTTGCTTTTCTGTGCCCCAATTTTCCCATCTGAAAAGCAGAGATAATACCGCCTACAAAAATGACAAGAAGAAAACGCACAAGTAGATTAAAAGTTTGTTTATGTAACTAATCTGGCAAGTCACTTCACATGCTTCCCCTTCAACAGTACCTAGGGAAAGAGGTACATACGATCTCCATTTTACAGATAACTGTGATTTACTTGCAACATATAATTCAAACACCTTTTTCCCCAGTACTTGACAATAGTATTACATTTAGGAGAAAAACGTAACCTTGGCAATTAATTATAAAAACAACTTTAATTTAATCCTCTCAGAATTAAAGCAAACTCCCTCCAAATGAAAGCTCTTCAAGTCACAAGAAAAAGAATTCTAAAATTAAGTATTTCAGGAAAGACACAAGAAACAGTTTCTCTTTACTCAGTTAGGCTTAAGGAAACTATCTCACTGGCCCCACCTTAGAATTTAAAAATAACTTTTTTGGGGCGCCTGGGTGGCTCAGTTGGTTAAGCATCTGCCTTCGGTTCAGGTCATGATCCCAGGGTCCTGGGATCGAGTCCCGCATCAGGCTCCCTGCTCAGCAGGAAGCCTGCTTCTCCCTCTGCCTGCTGCTTCCCCTGCTTGTGCTCTCTCACTCTCTCACTCTTGCTCTCTCTCTGACAAATAAATAAAATCTTTAAAAATAAAAAAATAAAAACATTTTCATTAACCTTTGATTACGTAAATTGACAAAACTAACAATCCACTAATAATGAATCATTTTATTATTTTCGTATTCGTATACAATTATCAAAAAGCAGCCAATGCCCCTAAACCTGATATTTTTGTGCTATAAACATAACAATCTATTCCAATGGTGCAGATTCAATTATTCAGGGTTTAACTTTCCATTTTAAAGGTTTTCTCCTGCTTTTTGCTTCTCTAGCCTTCCCTTGGTTGACTCAGCTTCACTACTGGTTAATTCCACCCCTGGACAAGCACAGCACAAGTGGCCACACATTCAGAGCGCTGGTAACCGGTCAGTCAACAGGGCTGCAGGGGACAGCCATAACCGTCCACACGGGGTCTACCCGTGAGTTCAGATATCACAACAAATAAAAAATGCCTGCATGCCCTGTTAATTCTAACAAAGGCAAGCTAGTCCATCTTTCAGACTAATGATTACAGAGTGATTTAGCCGCTCCATTTCTTTGAACAAGTAAGAACAAGACACATGAACCAAAACATTGAAAAACAATACATGGTTTGCTTCTGTGATATCAATGCTACAGGTTTTAGACAGGGAGTAAAGACCATTTTCTATAAACAGCAATTAAAACAAAACTACTAAGAGTCTTACTGAAAATATGAGATCAGAAGTGTTTCCTTTTTTTTTTAAATGACAATTTATAATCCTGTTCTCAGGCATCACAACCGTAAACAGCACAAATGATCAACACAAAAGAATTAGACCGACAGTACCTCTGAACTAATGTAAACACCACTTGGCAGGATTTGCACAGAGACACAAGTAAAGGAACACTGATGCGGTGAAAGTAATCCCTGCACACTCTTTTCACAGACTTATAATCCAAAAGAATAATGGAAACTCAATTGTCACAGTTTTACCACTGGATGCTCAAGGAAGCCTCTAATCTCTGCTTTTCTTTCATCCTCTGATTGTCACATTAAACAAAAGCTCAACTGCTTTTCTGTTAATCATTTTTCAAAACATAAGAAAAAGAAAGCAGGAGAGCAGACTTTTAAAAGGGGGACAGGAGTTACAGGAACTCAAGTCTCCACACCGAAGGAGCTAATCTGCACTTGCTCATTTACTGCCCCCGAATGTGTACGACCTACACATTAACGGATTTCTTCCCCACCTGGGGGGAGTAACTTTGGATTTCCCGTAAAGACTGGATGTAGGTCAAATCCTATTATCAAGAACTAATTAAAGTACGAATTATTCTGGTTGTGCAAAAACTATGGTACGGAGAGTTCTGTGATGCACAGAGGTCTGCTCTAAGTTACGAGACTTGGGCTTGGGTATCTCTGCCAGTGAGGAGCTTCTCAGTCACGGTGATGACTTGTTAAGGATCACAATTTTGCGGTAACAGAGACATCATTTGAATGTTAGCCTCCTTGACCCCTGAAGGGCAGCCCTTGGGGTGCACACAGAAACTCTGCCACAGGTGCCACACTGAAGCTCTCTTTTCAGGAAACCAGAACTTCAGGAGCTCTTTCCCTCTCTTCCCACTCACTCCCCTCCACCCTGCCTCCCACAGGAGCTCTTTTAGAACAACATGATAAAAAAGAAGAAGAAAAGCAAAAAAAAAGCAGTAACACTTAAAAATAGGATTATGTGTGCACAGACGTTACCTACTCTGAATGTTTACACAGTTTGTCATAAAGACATGTGCATGACAACAACAAAATATATATATTTTGTATATATATATACATTTTATATATATATGTATATATATGTGTATATATATATATACACATATATATATATAAAATAATTAATGGCTCCTAAATTACTAGAAAATAATTGGTTCCTGAAATTCAACTAGACAGCTCAAAGATGAGTTTTCAAAGGTCCGTGAACTTCTAACAAGTTCTGGGCTGTGTGTGTGTACTACTATGTGCAGACATATGCCACCTTGCTGGGGAGAAGGTGCACAGCTTCCTCAAAGGGGCCATGACTCAAAAAAAGTTGAAACCACTGCAATCAAGTAAGATGACTTTTATTTATTCGAAGAATAATTTTAATTACGAGAAGAAACTGCGTTATTTAGCTCAAGTCAATGAAAACAGCAGAAACTCTGACCACACTTCCTACCTCTGTGTCCCAGGAATCGTGAGAGACAGGATTTCTACTACTCCTTTTGATCTGGGGGGGAAGATGATGGTCTTCTTCATTGCCATTCCTTCTCCTTTTCCTGAAATTAAATCACAGGGAGGGAAAAAAGAAAAATCCAACAATTGATCTTTTAGGCACTTAAAACTGTAAATCATGACAACAAATTTGCCCTCTTACCTGAGAAAACAGAAGTCATCATACGCACTATCCCAATAGGTAAAAAGTTAGAAGTACACCATCGTTGGGCACGAAGACCGAAAATACGAAATAGCAGCAGTTGGGGCGAGCTTAAATGAGTGCAACTGATGTCTAAAAAGAAGCCTGGCGACTTTAAATGCCTACTGGGAACAAGCAGGTGCGGGGGGACGCTAATGACTAAGCTTCCAAATTCCACCTAATTGAGGTTATCTTCCCTCTGCGTTTCCTGAAATAACCATTTCAGACTACCGCATCTTACTCCCTTCCACAGGACAGTATGTAAGTCAGGAGTGGCTGTCTCTGCCCGCGTACCCCTAAAATCCTCACAAAAATGGTGCTACACAGGGATAGAATCAGAGATTCGTGCGGTCTCTGATCTGCAGCTTTCTTTCATCCCTGATTTCCCCCCAGTTATTACATGCAACAAAAGCTCAGTGCCCTAAAGCATTAGATCACTCTTCCCAACCGTCACTGGAAAGGCTGCTCTGCCACACGTTAACTCCATTATTCTCTCCGCACCACCTAGTACTGTATGTTATGTCACCAAATTATTAGAGTTTGCAGCATAAGCTGCTCAAAATTTTCAGGTTTAAGGAAAATCCACACATTTACCTCAGTGTTCTCAGATGTGCAACAGACAAAATGTGTATGTATTCGATGAAAGAATTAATTGCTCCTGGAAGGATGTCTATGGCCCCATTTAGGAGACAGAAAATAGAAATAAATTAGAGGAGGTATCATTTGAAGGCAAACTGCCCGGAACTGTGCTATCCAATATGGCAGCCACTAGCCACATGAGGTTACTTACGTTTAATTTAATATCCAGTTCCTTAGTCACACTAGCTACATTTTCTGTGTTCAAAGGCCACAGGTAGTTAGGGGCAACTGTACTGGATAGCACAGACACAGGGCATTCCCATCACTATAGAAAGTGTCACTGGCAGCACTGGCAAGAGGCCAATTTATACAAAGCAGCATAATCTACTATAAGGAAAACTCTGAAAGATTCAAATTTCTATAGCTAGAGGAAAGACAGCTCTTGGGCAGGTACTGAATTTGAGCAAAGTATTTATTTGAGGACTGAGTATCTTCTGTACAGTCATACACTTTCTATGCCAGTAGTGTGGCATGGTAGGGCAGGCCCATATCCTCAAGGTTTTGAGTTGAAGTCTTGATACTGGAGAACATCTAAGTTATCACCCTTACCTCAACTGTATCTGGCGATACTCCTGTACTCTGTATACATCTATTAATGAGTGCAGACCCAGCTTAGGCTTGGAACAATACATTGTGAGTGGGTGGTTCTGATCAAGCATTAACCAACCTGCAAAAGGGCTCTGGTGACCTCATTCTAAGACTCAGTTGTTTCTAAGATCATCATTTCTGCTCCCTAACCCTTCTCTCAGGTCACTGGATCTTAACCGCACGTTACTCTTAAATATGTGGGGGTTAAAAACCAGGTGAAAAGCAGATTTGATACTCATTTAAATGGATGTGCTATTACCACAGATTTGAACCAAATAATTATTTTCACCCTAATATGGCCAGAGAATCTTTTTGGAAAAGAGATGCAGTTAACAGAACAAGATCCGACAGATGTCACATGCCACCCCAGGGAAACTCACCAAATGCTGGTCCCCAAACTCTTCCCTTATCAATATGCCAGCAGCTGACTGTGCTCTGGGCGGCTGAGCCACTCTAACCACTTACGAGCCTGACCCCAACTGCCCAATTTCCTCACTTATAATCCATGGCCTATCTTTGCAGTGACAAGAAAATGAACGTCAAGGAGGCTGTCGGACAAAAAGGATGTGAGTACAGAGAGGATGGGCTGGTTCTGCAGATTTAAACTAAACTCTGGAAAAAGTCCCATGAAATATCCCTGCCTCATCAGCAGCAGCTTTCTCACGGTACCCCAATCACCCCATAGGAGGCCCTCTCCTTTGGATGGTATGGATTAAGAATGAGCCTTCCGGGACGCCTGGGTGGCTCAGTTGGTTAAGCGGCTGCCTTCGGCTCACGTCATGATCCCAAAGTCCTGGGATCGAGTCCCACATCCGGCTCCTTGCTCAGCAGGGAGCCTGCTTCTCGCTCTGCCTCTGCCTGCCACTCTCTTGGCCTGTGCTCACTCTCACGCTCTCTCTCTGACAAAAAAATAAATAAAATCTTTAAAAAAAAAAAAAAAAAGAATGAGCCTTCCTGTTCTTCTTTCTCCTTTTTCTAAGCTCTTTGTAGATTCCACCCTTGAAACATTCTTCTTTCAACAATATTGTTAATGATTGCCAAGATTACAGTTTCATGTTCAACCGTACCCACAAAGTCAGATTATAGCCTTCCACATTAATGCCACAGACCAGGTTATAATTTCAGCCGCCACCATATAATTGATTATGTTCTCCCCAGGCATCTAGTTACAGATTGTTGTTTAGCATCTGTTACTTTTAAGGACGGCTGATTACATCACTGCTCATTTCATTTCTTTCCAGTCTTCTAGTCATCTCCTAGACACTGAGCATAAAAGAAATCTTAAGAGTATGGAGACTAGTGTTTTTCAAACTTTTTTTTTTTTAATATAGTAACAGAAACCTTTCTATCAGTGAAAAAAAATCATTCAACATATATATGAAATAAAGGACTTGTTTTGGTTAAAGTAGGGGTTTCCCTGACATACATCTACCCCTCTATGGTTATCTCAGTATATTTTATAACAGTCTGAAAAATTACCATCTCAGACCAACCCTTCATCTTAAAGTTGAGGAAACAGATCCAGGAAACTGAACCGACTTGGAGATATTATGACAACAGGAGCTGGCAGGGCTGGTCCATCATACTCCATGAAACATGGGGTGAAAAGCAGGTAAGAAACCCCTGTCCAAATCACGTGGTTTTTTTATAGCAATGAAATCACCAGTATAAACATGTTGAGGTTATTTGTGTACTAGATAAAAGCCATCTGCTACCAGTATAAGCACATTCAGGTTTGCTTATCCAGTGAGAGATAAAAGGAGTATTTCTGTAGGAAATATTTAGACTTTTTCAGATAGGAGACATCACAAGAGACTATCAGAAGTATAAACTGGGTTTGGGAAGGAAAACAATGACGGATCTGGCCTACCTTGCCTAAGGAACTTGTTCCTAATTCCAATAGCAAGTCGGCCCCCAAGTTCAAATCTAGTCCACTCTTACTTTCTATACAAGCAGGCTTTATGCCCCACTCACTATATACTGAAATCAATAATCCAGTGCAGAAGTATGGGCCAACCTAGATCTTTGGACCTATTGGACCAAATAACCTCAGGATGCTTTCCCTTAATTAACCATCCTCCAAGAGCAAGACCTTTGTGGGAAGACTGTCGATTACATTCAGAGCCAATGAAAATGTAAACAACAAGATTCAGCATAATCTACTAAGGCAAACCTATTTTATTCCCTTGAGCTTTACTGAGACTCCGGGGAAATAACGAAAGACTGGTGAACCTGGAAAGACTCGCGTAAACCAGCTGAGCTCTCTAAGTGTTTCCTCATCAGAAAAGGGATAGTTTTGGACTTGGCGATCTATAGGTTTTTCACTTCAAATCCCACGAGGGATTTTTCTAATTTGGAGCAAAGTTGCTCCCCTTCATTTGGGGTACCCAATCCCAACTTTCTCCTCCCCACCCCCTTACAGGAGGAAACGAGAAAAGAAAGCAAGCAGGCAGCTTAATCCGACTCTATTCTGCACACGGCAAGCAAGAACAGCACCCCTTGGTGAAGACCCGGGTCCTGAGGCCACGCTTTGTGGAAAGTAGAGCATCGCGATACAAGCCCTATCTCCCGCCTTCGGAGTCAAACGGCTCCGTATCCAAACAGTTTAGAATCCTGCCTGTCAATGCCCCAAGTCACTTTGGTCGTCTGCCCTTCTATGTTCACAACCGTCCGAGGGCACAAATTCTTCCATCTAGCCCCATCCTTCCCTGCTGAAGAGTTCAACCCAATCCTTTCTGACCTTGGGGAGACGGCTGCTCCCCGCCACTGCCCCTCAAAGACGTCCTAGGGACTCCCTCTCAAAAATCAGACATCCCTCCCATCCCCCCACCCTCCTAAATTTAGGACAGGGAAGCTTTAGGGCCACTGTCTCTCTTCCGGGACCGTTCAGACTGCATTCCAAGTAGGGAAAGACGAGGGGAAAAAAAGACGGGGTGCGGGTGGGGGGAGACGTGGACCCAACGAGTCACTCCTCCTAGCACCTCAGGGACCAGGTACTTGCGCATCCCTCTCCCTCTTCCCCCGGGGCCGCAGAGCGCCCAGAAGAATACCCGGAGGGCCCACGCTTGCTCGGACACCCGCTCCGCGCGCCCTTTTGGCTCCAGCCCCGCCAAGGGGTTGGGAACGAAGGGGGTCTCTGTGGTCTCACCTGGGGCGGAGGCGCTCGCTCATGGCAGCCGGTGGAGGGGAGCGACGCGGCGCGGCTCCGCGAGAAGAGGGAACAGAGGGTGTTGTGTTCTGGCGGCCGCCACGCCCACCCCCTCGGGCCTTGGCTCTAGCCGCGGCGCGGGTGGACGCTGCCGGCGGTGAGTACCCCTCGGCGGGACCCGTACCACCGCTACTTCCGGCGTCTGCTCCGCGCCCCCCCATGTCGCAGCCGCCGTGGTACCGCCCTCTCGCGGCTGCGCAGTGGCGCGACCCCGGCCGCGCCGACCGGTAACCCCGCCCACGGGAAGAGGCGGGCTCGGAGTGGGGCGGAGCGACTGGGAGCTTCTGGGAGAGAGGACCTCAGGAGAGGCGGCCTAAGCTTTTGCCTGTTCGCAGCCTACCGGGGAACGGCATAAAAGTCCAGCCAGGTTTGAATTAACTTAAATTATGGCATCATAATACGAAACAAGTATTTGAGTTAGGCCCCTATGTGGTAACAGTTTTTTAAAACACAGCTGAGCAGCATCAGGCAGTGGCGCAGACGGCCTGCGGCGGGTCCCTGCCCGGGAGTTGGGAAGCCGCTCGAGGGGCTGCGCCGGGGGGCTTGTCGCGGGGGCTTCCGGAACTTCCTCGCCTGGCGAGGTGAGGATGCTGGTCTGGGTCAGTTGCGGCCAGTCGTGCTGTGTCCGGTGGATCATGCCGTGTGTCAGAGATGGGGGAGTGTTTCCCGGGAGGAGAGGGAGTTGATCGGATGGCGGGCCAGCCATGGGGGTGGGGGGAGCTTTCCGGGGCGGCAGGACGAGCCCCCTTCAGCATCCGCGCGGTTCCGGAGTCTCCGGTTGGGGCTGCTGGGGAGGAGGGCCCCGCCCACTCAGCGGGAAGCTGCGGCTCCGCTTCCGGAAAAAGTGCGGGAGCCGGGAGGAGGGCGGGCTGGGTACCGCGGCCGCTGCGGGGTAGGGGTTGAGGGAGGCGTTTGGCAGGAGTCCCACGGGCCCTGCGCCGGGGAGGCGGGCGCGGCCTTAACTGTTTGCTTCCCGGAGCACCGAGGGGACCTGCCCTGCCAATAACGCGGTTAGATTGTATTTGGCCCAGTGCCGCCCCACAGCCGTTCGCTGGGTGTGCTAACGAGTTACGTTTCTGCTTGTGTCTCGCGCAGGCTGACAATTCAAACCGAGTTTGTTCTGCCGGACTCGGGGACTGCGATCGTGAGGCATGGAGAGCCGGGAGAAACAGTCCCCAAGTTAGCATCCTTCTGGAGAAGCTCCAGTCAGTAAGTAGTCACCCACCCACGGTGAGACGTTACCACGTGAGGGTGCAGAATCTTTCCAGTAGGTTTAAGGGTAGTGGAGGAATGTAGAGGCAGACACGTCCAAGAGGTCTCTAGCCCCCTCCAGAGTTAGCAGTCCAAGGCCCGTGGACTGGCTTCAGTTGTGGGTATTTACTTTGATTATATTGTCAAGGGGGTACCTCCAAAGTAAGAAAAATTGAAGCTCTTTGGCTGGAAACAGTTTTGTTTTGCCTGAGTTTATATAGGATCCTAAATGGATTGGCCAGGATTCCGTGTATCTGTTTTGTGTAAATGGTTTTAGTCTCCGTGTTCAGTGGTCAGAAGGTTTTCACAGCCGTAGTCATCTGTGATAATAGCGTTTGCATGTTTATGTCCAGAAAAGGAGTTCATTCAACAACTATTATGTGCCAGGCTTAGTGCTCAAAGAGGTACAGGTGATACATGGTATTGTTTTTTTCCATGTTTTTGAGTGGTATGAATATCACAAAGATTTCATGCTGAATGAATTTGCCGGTTGTCCATTGTACTGCAAACTGTAAATTAAAAATGAGGACTGTGTCCCCACCACGTGTATATATCATTTGTGCATTGTAAACACTTCTACATAAACGTGTATGTGTGTATACATACGTTACTAATATGGTGTTAGAGCTTCGTTTCTCATGCTGAAATGATGGAAGGCCTAATATTTTCTTGTTGCACTGTAGTAGATCTTCCGTATACCACTTCGAACACCATGATTCTAAGCAGCAGCCTTCAGATCGTGGCCTGAGTTTTTACTCTTCACCATTCTTTCCTTAAATGATGTGTTTAAGGGATTTTAACAGTTTCTTTACACTCACGTAGTAACCAGTTGACTTGCTGTAACCTTAAACAGCGAACATTTTAATCTGATTGGTATTTTGAAGATTTTATTTATTTATTTAAGGTGGCAGAGAGAGCACAAGCAGGGGGAGGGCCAGAGGGAGAAGCAGACTCCCTGCTAAGTAGGGAGCCCCACATGGGACTGGATCCCAGGATCCTGGGATCATGACCTGAGCTGAAGGCAGATGTTTAACCGACTGAGCCACCCAGGCGCCTCTCTGACCTGTATTTTGTACAACTTTTTCTTCCATTAATTTAACCATTAATATATTAGATTTAAGTCTGTTGACTTTTCCTCATCTACTAATTAGGGTTGTGGAAAACCACTTTGGTTGTTTTTTTACCAACAGTTGATTCTTGGAAGACTTTAAGAAATGTAAAATGCCAAACAGAAGTGAAGCCAACGATATTTATCTTAAAAGCAACCATGTTTTCTGTTTTCTACCTCTGTAAGGAAAAGAATACGCCAAAACACATTTTTTAAAACTTCCTTCAACCTAGGTTTTTCCAAATGAAAGGTACACACGTAAATGAAATGTTAGTGATTTACCAGCCATGTGCCCCTCATAATCTCCCATTTGCGTTTTTCAGGAATAGGAGAGCAATACTCACCCAGGATGGAAGTGTGTCCTTACTGTAAAAAGCCATTTAAACGATTAAAATCCCACTTGCCGTATTGTAAGATGATAGGACCAACTGTACCTGCTGATCAGAAAGCTTGTCAGTCCAAGCCAGCTCCACACGCTAAAAAAATGAAAGGGCCAATCGCCGACTTAAATAACACTAAAGAGAGAAAGTTGGAGATGGCGAGTAAGAAGAGAAATACCAACTTGGTAAAGGACAAACCGAAACAGGCTACGAAGTCTTTTCCACTCCTGGCTGTTGGTTTGGAAAGATCAAGTAATACAAAGGCAAATAAAGACGTCCAGAATCAAGGTCAGTGCTCTATCAAAACACTAAAAAATACTGAACCAAAGATAACTTTCCAGGGAGAAGCGAAGGGCCGGTTTCACGCATCAGAGAACGCCACTCCTAGGAGGGAACTTGCCAAATATTTGCCTACATCAGAGGAAGGTAGAAGTAACCTTTCAGAAACTGAAACATCTTTACCTCTTGGCCCAGTAGAACCTTCTTCATCAAATCAAGATAGAAAATACTCTTCTGCCTTACCCAATGATGTACAGATCACTTCTACTAATTTCAGATTGGACAAAATTGATCCCCTAAGATGGAAGCTTCTAGTAAATTTACCAGATAAACCTCATCACAGTTCTCCCATGAATCTCAATTACGGGGTTGAAGGAGTAAGAACATCATTGTCAAACAACGAGAGACAGTCTAAGGCCAGGGACCACCTCTCAGAAGTCTCTTCTGACGTTAGAGACTCTGAGACTCAAGAAAAGAACATGGAATCACAATTTTTAAATTTTAAAGTTAGCCCAGTAGGTGACATCCAAGTCAGGGAGAACCAGGGAAAAGGACTGTACCTTGGAACAGAGGCACACGGCAGCAGAGGAAATGCAGAGAAAAGTGTATCTGTAGCAGAAATCCCGGAATGGGCTTCTGTGATCGGTGATGCAAAGAACATCAGTAGTAATGATTCAGCCACAGAGAAAAAAGGTCCACATGAAGGTCCCAGTTCAAATTTGTTCACTCCAAGAGAGACGGCCTGTAGTGAGCTGCTTTCTGTGTCACAGCCGCATAATCAAAGCCTTGCTTCTCTGGCTGTCAGATTTTTCCAAGAAGAGAAAGGAGGAGCCTGCCGTCCTCACGGAGTCCCTGATGTGGAGGCGTTAACAGAGAGTGGTGAAGGAGCTTCTCTGCAGCTCAGCTCTGGCCGTGGGCCCCCAGTGTCACACCTCGGCTGCCAGCAAACCTTACATTCAGTCCTGCCTCACGCCTCTTACAGCCCCTTCCGTCAGATTGGCATTGCTGATAGGAAGACCCTTTCAAGCTCCCTGGGCCTGGAGTGGTTTCCAGAGCTCTATCCTGGTTATCTTGGACTAGGAGTATTGCCAGGGAAGCCCCAGTATTGGAATGCAATGGCCCAAAAGCCTCAGCCCACCAGTCCCCAGGGGGAGAGACTCTCAAAAGGTAAACATGCACGTTTTCACGGGCCATCCAGCCCATCCATACAGCTCTGTGCCTTTTGAATTAATAAGGTTCAGAATACTCCTGTTTTTGCTCATTTGACTTTTTTACCTAGGCACTCCAGTATACCAGACTTAGAGTTGTTCTGAAAACATCAATTCTTGCTCCAGAATTAGTACCAGTGGTTTACCATTCTCCCTTACCCTCCACGCAGAGTTGAAGGTTGGACTAGGCCAGATCTAGGCCAGGTCAAGCCAGTGACATTGGTCACTTGCATTTCCACAGCAGGAGGGGGCGGGGGCGTGGCCGGGGTATGTTGGGCAGCAGTTCAAGCTGTCTTGAGAGATCCAGTAAGGAGTCGTGGAAAGAAACGGACAGGCTGTGAGGCCGTCTCCTCAGAAGCCCTCCGGAAGCTCCTTGCCAGTGCCTAGAATGGGTCAAGTCAGGAAGTCCCTGGAATTTCAGGGAATCCTCCCTTTTCTCCTGCACAACTTGATCTTCAGTTATTGGACTGTCTCTAGTTAACGATACATAAAGTTTCTTCATTTTCCTCACCAGGAAGCTTTAGATTTTTCTCTTTTAAGGTTTTCTAGAAGCACATTAGTTTAATGTAGCATTTAGATCGTGTGTGTGTGTGTGTGTGTGTGTAGCATTTACTAGTACTTTTAGCTTCTACAGGAGACCTGTAGCAACTCAGAATAGCTTTGCACCTGAAAAACTTGTAACATCTCTTCTTAAAAGGGACATATTTTCTCTCTCTGGTATATTTTATAAATTATTATATATTCACTAAACCCCAAGTCATCTGGTCTGACAACAAGCATTTTTTTTTTCTGGTACGGTAATTCTTTCTAAAGCTGTCAAAACAGAAGTGTAGTGACTGGACAGTGTTGCTAGCTAGAGATACATCATCGACTGCTTTAGTGGTTACTGGTTTTCCTACAAACAGACCTAACCTCTAGGCCCTCTTTACAGACTTGTAGTCTGTCTCAAGGTCAAAGTTGAGGCCCGCAGCCCTTTTCCCATGCTAACCTAGAATTACTGTTAACATCTGTGTTGCTT